AGAGAGAGAGAGAGAGAGAGAGAGAGAGAGAGAGAGAGAGAGAGAGAGAGAGAGAGAGAGAGAGAGAGAGAGAGAGAGATTAACGAGAAAGTGGATACAAGCAAGTTTCAATGACTTGTCTCCATAATGTGTAGATCTGCTGCTAGAAGGTGATGGTCAGAGCTGGACAACAAACGGACCAAGGACAGGGCTGAGATGGTGTACTACAGTTCTTGCGCTGGCTGTCCCACTCCTGGCAACATCAATGGCTGCTATTCGTCTACCAGCATTTCTGGTTGGGACCTTCACATCAATGGACAGGTGAGAGGAGCGATCAACAGGCAAACCATGCCAAGCACACTATCGCCTACCGCCTTGCTGCCCCCCCCCCTCCTCTTTCTCTCTCACTTGTCCTAGACATGGCCGCTTTCTTGAAGTGCAAGATGAACAGGGTCGTACGTATGTCCTACATATGCCATGTTGCTCCTGTGTTGCCACCCAGTCGCTCGGGCGGCATCGTGTTGCCCCTTAGTCCGTGGGGTTCTTTGCGTTCAGTCTTGAGAGGGGGCGAACAGGGTGGATTGGAGGTATTCTGATATGCAGGCACGCAGGCGAGAGAGAGAGAGAGAGAGAGAGAGAGAGAGAGAGAGAGAGAGAGAGAGAGAGAGAGAGAGAGAGAGAGAGAGAGAGAGGTGCAGTGGCAGGAGGAGACGAAGGACCGGGTGAGTCCCCACCCGCATCGCCCAGTGCGACGCCCACCATAGTTTTGTTTGCAAAAGAAGCCACAGCAGGTCATCTAGTTGGCATATAAAGTATGAAATAGTAAGGAGTCAACTGAGGGCTTGAATCCACTCGACGGTGGGGCTTGGAAAAGCCTTCAGCTCCTGTCTGAGGGGAAATCCCGTTGGCGTCAACAGGGAAAAGTCCGACGCAATTACCTGCTCCCCCAATGTGCTCTCTGTCATGAAAAGTGGGATTCTTTTGCAACCTGGCCACTTTTGTCTTTTCCTATAAAAGTATGCCCCCCTCCCGACCCTTACGCCCTCCAACTGGCCACAACACATGGAGTGGAGGAGGTAGCGTGGCCATGGGTGGGGGCGAGGGATTGGAGGGCTGTGACTAGAGTGACAATGAAAGGTATCGACTTGTCGCCGCGTTTGGCGCGGGAGGGTGTAGTTGGGAGAGTTGCTCCGTAGCCCTTTACAAACTTTCCCACCGCCCCGTGGGGTCCGGGCCTTGAACATTTGACAAAACAGCTTGTAACAGTCCCCAGGCACCGCTGGCTCCACCAGAATCACCACGATGGCGTGGTTTCTGCGACCAAATGTGTGCACACCCTCATCACCCAAACATCACATGTCCATTTGGCAGCCAGAGACAACACAGTGAATGCATGCTCCGCTGTAATGTCCATCGTTCTTCCCCCTGGCCTGCAACAAACATGTCATGAGAGAGAGAGAGAGAGAGAGAGAGAGAGAGAGAGAGAGAGAGAGAGAGAGAGAGAGAGAGAGAGAGAGAGAGAGGAGACCCTCTTCCTGCCTGTTAGTATCATGATGCACAGTGCTGCACAGTGTACATTCTCATTAGTATTGAATCTGTTGATTGAGAGCCAGAAGTTCGAACTGTTTTCTCTAATATTTTCCTAAAACATATTCAAGAAAAGAAAAGAAAAAAACATTAAAAAATGTTGTGATAGCCAGAAGGCTGTGCTTCCTTTTCTCTTTAACAAAACGAAAGCAATACTAAGTCTGAAAGTCAAACACCTGGTCATCTATTTCTCTTCTTGACGTATTGGATGAACACCGGCTGAAATCTAAATATAACCTCTGAGAGAGTGCAACCTTGGAGACGTCTGTTTGTTTAATAGGAATCTGTAGATGATTACTCCCCTACTTTCTTCCCTCGAATACAACGTACGGTCATTACAGCTGTATTTGGGGTATCTTTCAGTCTAAATACAGCGATAATGACCGTACGTTGTATTCGGGGGAAGAAGGTAGGAGGGAGATCAAGCAACACACACTATTGGTCAGCAACAACAACAATGACGTTGACATCCTGTTTTTGTTTTATTTTTTTGTTTTTCACTTCGTGCAGAAACCCTGGCGGCGCACCTCTTTTCATGCCAAGCCTCTTTATTTCGATCCTGGTCGCACTTCTGGTTTCGACCTTTCTGGTATATTTGTTCCCGTATGCACACCGACAAGGTAGGCAGGCGCAGTCGAGACTTCCCAACTATTGACGCTGTTAATGCCTATTTTAATAATTTTAGTATTTTGTGAGCGGCGAGCGGCATTGATCGTGTGAAAGAGGGTGGCTAGTAAAATAAACAAAATCCACAGAACCAGCATGTGAGAAAACAAAAATTTCGAGCAGCAAGGGCTTGTTAAATACCATGCATGAGTAGACCAAATGGAGAGCAGATGCAATGATTCTAGGTTTGACACCCGCTTTACTCCACCAAGTATGCATACATCACACAAAGCTTCACACCTGAAAGACGAGATTTACACAAGACAAAGCATACTTGGAAATTATTAGCAAACTCAGAGTTACATTCAACAGGTCTCTTGTACCTCGGTGGCTATGGCTGCCATCAACACAACACCAGACAAGTCTCTCTCTCTCTCTCTCTCTCTCTCTCTCTCTCTCTCTCTCTCTCTCT